CAATTTTAAATCCTCCCGCATTTCCGCATTTGTTTGAGACAAATTGGAATCTTTGAAAACTATAGGTTTGTTTCTGCAGAAATCACAAACCAGTCAGAGTGAATTTCATTGGTTGAAACTAGTTTTCTGACTGTTTTCAACCAATGAAATTCGCTCTGACTGGTTTATAATTTCTGCAGAAACAGACCTAATATTGTAAAACACTTTAGAACCAATTTAGGATTTCCGAAACATTCTAGAACCGACCAGAACACTTCTGAACTTTCGGCAACATTTTAGAAAGCTTTCGGAACACTCTAGAACACTTTACAAATCATATGGAACTTTTGCAAACAATCTAGAACTGAAAACTTTCAGAATATCTTGAAAATCGTTAAATGACACTTTGGAACATTTCTTTCATGAACATATTAGAACACATTCAGACGTTAGAATTTCAAAAGAAGAAATTTCTGATAGCTTCTAGAACATTCCGGTGCTTCATGAGCATTAGTTATGGGTTACAGAATTTTATTTTAATTTTCTCTCTCTAAAAAGAGTATAGGCGATTTCGCCTCAGTTTGGTCCGTCAAACAGGTACCAATCAATTTCGGATGCGAGAATGATGCCGTCACAACAACTTTGGTGAAATGCTATACCGCGGTTGACTGCCGTTTGTAACTGGGTAGTGAAGGTTTGGTAGCTTTCCGTCTCTTTCTGACTCATGTCTAAATAAACATGTCAAGGTAAAAATGTGTCAAAAGCCCTATCCACTGCATTCGGATGAGATTGTTGAGCAACGTCTCTCACGTACCAATTGGTTAACCATTCGCCTACCAAACAGCAGATGAAAATCTGGGGCGAAACCGCGTTATGTTTGAAAAACGGTTTTGTATTTGTCCCACAGATCACCTACTTTGCCATCCCTGATCAACTCAGATCCTCAACCCATCCCTTTTTTTTAAAACGTTAGCTGAGAGCTAAATAATTATTTAAAAACACCGGGTAACTTGACATTTCTAGAAAAAAATTGTTTTTGTTAGGTATATATGCTTTTAAAATGGGCATTTAACGAGAGTGAAACTTTATTATTGGCCTGATCACTTATATGGGCTCAAATTTCAAAAAGTACTACTAATTAATAGTACCTACTCAGTATCTGATATCAGATTTTTATTGAAAATGATCGACTTAAGACGTAGGTATTACCTATACCGATTTTTATTATTCTAAAAACGATTAAGTTGATTTCATAATTCAGAACATGAAAAATCCAATCATAATAAATCATATCGATACCTAATGCTTTTCGTATCGAAAAATTCAATTCAGCGGCTTCGGAGACTAACCGAGAGTGATTTATTTGCATGTAGGTATTTTTCACAATAATTTTATAATGTTAGGTAGGTACCTTCTCTTGTTTTACGATATACCTACTCAATTTTAATTGTGTTTAATATTGTGCTTGAGTTCTGTTTATATGTTTTATTGAATTTCTATGTTTTGTTTTTGATTTTGACTATTGTAGTGATTTTTAAGTTCCTCGTCCTAGTTATAATAATTATTCTTAAATTATTAACTTTATCCTATGTACATCAGCACCTTACTTTATATTGAGATTTTAACTGTCTTCCTTGTCTGAATTGCACTGTATACCTATTGCATTTATTCCTAATATTTAACTTTCTTGTCCCAGCTTTGTCAATGAAGATTATTATGTATTCCTTGGACAATAAAGCTATATTTGATTTGATTCGATATCCTGGCTTCTTTTGCTGTCTTCGACGACTTTTCAATAATTTATCAAACGACATAGGATATGGTTTTTCGGGTTCTTCCTAAAAGATTTTTAGTTACCAAAAATTTTATGAATGATTCAGTAATTGGTTTTTTATATACATTCAAATCATATGCTCATTTTTGGAAATTTTAAGTAGTTGAATTGACCCTAGGTATAAAAAATACCAAGTACATATCATGTCTAATGGCGACCAAGAGAAGTATAAAAAATTGCGGTGTGGGTTGCCGAAATAAAAGGGCTTTTAGTCTTCTATATTAATAAGTACCTACTTTTATTCCTGGACACACAATTATTTTACTAATCGGTACGTAAACCTAAAAATCAGACGTTTCCTGTTTTCTAAATTAATCTTCTATGTGCAAGTTGCAAGTATCAGTGCCGTATTTCCCTATCCGCATATTGCGCACAGGCGTAAGGCGGCAAATCTGAGGAAGCGGCAAAATTTAAAAAAAAAAAACAGAAAAAGACAAAAAATAATCGGGAAAAGCAAGCCGAAGATCCGGTTCTGTTTCGCGTTGGATCTTTATTTGATTTTTGATAAATTCGAACAATATTATAAAAAATACAAAAAATAACAAAGCACAATAAAGAACAGATACCTACCAAAAAAATCATAAAGCCTGTAAACGCCGGTTTTAAAAATAAAAAGTGCATACCTATGAAAAAAATGAATCGAACAAAAAAACACACACACATCAAAATAATGTATACCAAGTGTAGGTAATAAAATGTAGGTAGTGCAGAAAAAAAAAATTGAAAGCTCAAAATAAACGTTTTTGGGCGTGGCACCCAAAATGATTTTCGTTTAATCCTGGCGTCCCTTTTAAGTTTGCCCCGTCCGCCCCCAAAAGCCTGGATATGCGTACGCCACTGTCCGTGTCCTGTATCTTCTTGGCCCCCCAGTTTTTTGAGGCACGCGCCGCTCGTGCCTACATGAGGGCGGCCGTTCTAAACAGGCCAGGGGCGTAGCCACGAGGGAGGTTTTGGGGGTTAAATCCCCCACTCCCCACTTGATCAGAAACTATAATTAAAAACCACGAAACACGAAACCTATGTTTTAGCATATACTTTTTTACCCTCAAAATTTTATTATTTTCATATAAAGCATTGACTTTAAAATTCTACAAAATTTTCGTCTGCGGCGCAATTTTTTTTTTTCTGACATCCCTATGGTCATGCAATGTTTCTTAATTTCAATAGCGAAACTCCCACCCCATCTGAATTTTCTGGCTACGCGCCTAAAACGGGTAGGGCGGCAAATTGGTAAATCCGGCACTGTGCAAGTTGCAAGTCATTCAACTACTACTCAGTATTACTCACGAACTCTAATCGTAAACTAGAAGAACTGAAAACTGAAAAGAACAACCGACAACAGCGTCATCTTACATCCAACCATAAAATCATATCTAAAGACGCGTACAGACCGAATTTCCAACGCTCGCCAACGGCACGTGAACTATGCTTGAACGCGTTGGCTTTGGTGTGTACAGCGGTGTAGACGATGTTCTCAAATTCTTTTCAATGCTCTCCAACCCCAACCCCAACGCCAACGACAGCACATATGCCGTTGGCGTTGGTCTCCGTTGGAAATTCGGTCTGTACGCGGCTAAAGAGAGAACTGTAATAATCATGGATATAGAGCTCCGTTGGAAGCAGACCTATTGTTCGTAGATTCTAGTCGAAAGAGAAGACTTTCTAATCAGAATAGAATGCTTTTTTATATAAAACAAAATTGAATCATTTATCTTTAATAGTTTTCAAGATGTTGATCCTCAAAGTTGTAACCTTGCCTAAAAATTTGGAAAAACTTCAAAGCAGATTATCTCGAAAACGAAGCCCTAGGGCTCGGTGACTTAAATAACCTTTTTTGAAGCCCCAATTGAGATACCTATACAATTAGACGAAATTTCGTACCGATAGCTTCTCTGGTTTCCAAAGTATGGTCATTTGAAATATTTGAAAATTAAATTTCCTTGCATAGGTGGGTAGTACCCCTTAAAAAAATTTCAATTTAGATTTTTTAAAATTTTTCAATTTTTGACTTTACCAATCGAAAGAGGGGGTCAAATTGAGTAGAAAGGCGTTTTCGTGATTTCTCTTTTCGCGGTTTTAGGGCCTCTAAAAATTTAAAAAAGAATTTTGCATATTTTTTCCGTGAAAAGTTTTGATCATCCAACATTGCCTCACAAAATCGCTCATGACTCAATTAATATTCTAAAAATGTTAATGTATATTTATATATTCCTCCTAATCAGAATTAAATACTCTTTAATATAAAACAAAATTGAATCATTCATCTCAAATAGTTTTCGAGATGTTGAGCCTCAACCTTGAAACATTGTCTCAAAATTTGGAAAACCTTCAAAACAGATTATCTCGTCCTAGGGCTCGGTGCCTTAAATATAACCCCTTTTGAAGCCCCAATCGAGATCTACAACTGAACGAAATTTCGTAACCATAGCTATTTCCTGGTTCCCAAAATATGGCCCTCTGATTCCTTTGAAATATTTTAAAAAATATATGGTCATTAATGTTTTCAACTTTGATTACTCATTTTAGATGAAATCACATTGGTGAAACTGCTGCTATGGCTTGTGTGAGTGTAACTCAGACAGCAAAAATCAAAATAAATTTGCATTTTTCATTAGATACTTTTCCTCAAGCCCTAGGTAGACATGCCAAAATATGAAAAGTGAATTATTATTAGTATTAGTAGGAATATTTTTGCCTTATCCACCTTATTATTAGTTGACTTTCATTTCCTACCAAAGACTATCTTTTAAATTGAGCCGGTACTTAAACTCTAAAGTAGCTCCAGGAATGTCCTAGCTCTTCAGTTGAAATATCCATTATTGCAGAAAATATACATGAAACTGTGATACAGCAGGAGTAGGAACTACACAGGAGTAAAACATTTGGCGGGACTAAGCGAAATATGTATCATCATATCCTGCTACATGTTCTTATTCTTATGTCGCTCTCGTTCCCGCTGTACCGCATTAATGTGTGAGATCCTTAAAAGTGGTGACCGCCGTTGTGTCTGTAGCCAACCATTGTAAAACTGCACTGTTCCAATTATTTATTTGTGCAAAAGTGAACAACGATAGAGTACAAGCACCTACAAGAGATAGTGAATGAAGTTTGTGTTTTCCAGAATGTATACATATAAAATGTAAATTGTTGGGCATCTTAGCTGCACTTATAGAAAATAAATATTACATCTTAAATAAAAAAAAAGTTAAATTTATTTGATTATATAACATTCATATTATATCAGTTACACATTTTTAAATGTCAATAAACAGTACACCTTGTTGTCCAACAAAAATTACCATTTTACAGCCTATCGCCAGTTTATAACGTAATTCCTAACAATTTCCATAAACCATGGAAAATACAATTCAACAAAAAAAGTAAAATTTAGTAACAAAAAAAAATAATTAGGCACTATATAAAATATAAATATGTAGAAAACAAGTTTCGTGGCTTTCAAAAAATAACAATTTTTATAAAATTTACTTTTTTTTTCATGATAATATTTATTTAAAAATAAAAGATATGACTTTTTTATATTTGTGACAAATGTTACGCAGCTGCTACCATTTGAGGACAGTTTGGCACTTTACACCTGTCCCTGGATTCATGGTAGTCAAACAAAATTGGTTTCTGACAAAACTGACATTCCTGGAAAAAGGTGCAAAAATAAAATCCCAATTTACATAAGAATTGGAGACCTTACCTGGCTACATCTCATACCAGTAAAAGGTAATTCAAGTTCATTCCAAACATCTTTCAAATCAGCTATCAGTAAGTCCATCATTTCTTTGGTATGATGTGGTGTAGGAGCTAGTCGAAGTTTCTCTTGTCCTCTAGCAACCGTTGGATAGTTAATAGCTTGAATGTAGTGGCCCTTGTATTTTATTAGTGCATCACTTACGGCAGAACATTTCATTGGATCCCCTATTTTGATGGGAATGATATGACTAGGAGTATACTCTACTGGAAATCCGTTTCTAAGAAGTTCTCCTCGCAAATACTGAACATTATCTTGATGCTTTTCGCGTAACATGCGACCTTCGTCAGAAGCTAAAATTTCAATTGCCTTCCTTGCACCAGCCAAAACTGTTGGAGGCAAACTGGTCGTGAAGATAAATCCAGCTCCATAGCTTCTAATCATGTCAATTAAATTGGCGTTTCCGGCAACATATCCTCCAATGTTGCCAAAAGCTTTGCCTAGAGTTCCAGATACCATATCCATTTTGTGCATCACATGGTCTCTTTCACCAATACCAGCACCGTGTTGCCCATAAAGACCTACAGCATGCACTTCATCCACAAATGTTAAAGCACCATATTTGTGAGCAATGTCGCAGATTTCTTCTAAAGGACAAACTCCCCCTGTCATGGAATGAACTGTCTCAAATGCGACAATCTGGAATTTAATTTTCCCTCTTTTCATTACTTTTATTTTATAACAAAACAATATTCTTGCAAGTAAATTTCTGATTTCTGGAAAAACCATATGAATTTGTAAGTTATTATTGAATGACTCACCTTGGGTGTTTGATAATCTACTGTCTGAAGCAGCTCTTCCAAGTGTTGAGGATCATTGTGCCTAAAAATGTGCTTAGGAACTTGGCTGTTTTTGATTCCCTGAATCATTGAAGCATGGTTGCCAGCATCAGAGAAGATATGACAACCTGGCAGTGCTTTAGCTAGAGTGAAGAGAGTTGTGTCGTTAGCTACGAAACAAGAGGTGAACAAAAGAGCCGCGTCTTTTTCATGAAGTTCGGCCAGAGCTGTTTCAAGCTTCTCGTGGAGCGTGGAGTTGCCGCTTATGTTTCTGGTGCCGCCAGCGCTTGTACCGTACTTTTCCAGTGCGATTCTGCATAGAAAAATCGTCTAATTAAAATACACTTAACACTATTCAGGGTTGGCATACACACAAACTCATTTCAAAAACCCAGTGTTTTTTTGACACAAAAACCCACTCATACAAAACTCATTTCTACCATAGTGCCAAATATCAATTCAAAATTTAAGATTATTCACATTTTTCTTATCTATATTGAACAAAATGAAAATCCTAAGGAAAAATAGTCATCTAATAGGTATTAAACAAACAATTCTTATATACAAAAGTAAAAATCGGAAGGAACTTTTCTACTACTAGTAATAACCTAACTAAAAAAAGAATTTGTACTAATAAACTAGTGAACAAATAATTAAAACCAAATTAAAATCCTAATTAACAGGTTTGTAGAGAATTTATTTGGCTTCAATTAAAGCTCAATTACACTGAAATCGGATGAGAATTAACGGAGCTGTGAGGCAAAAACTGTTTCAGTGTCCTTTTTGGAAAATTTTCAATGTTCGATAATTTCAATTTTGAAGCTTCTCAGGTGCAAAACTGTTGAAACCAAATTTAATTCCTAATTAATAGGTTTCTAGAGAATTTAATCAGTTTTAATTAGAGCCTAATTGCGTTGAAATCAGATGAAAATTAAAGGAGCTGTGAACTAAATCTGTCTCAGTATCATTTTTGAAAAATTTTCCATGATTGCTCTCTCAGGTGCAAAACTGTTGAAACTAAATTAAAATCTCAATTACCAGGTTTGTAGAGATTTTATTTGGCTTCAATAAGAGCTAAATTACATTGAAATCGGATGGAAGAAAGCTGTGAGGCAAAAACTGTCTCAACTGTAATTTTTGGAAAATTTTCAATGCTCGATAATTTCAATTTTGAAGCCTCTCAGGTCCAAGACTGTTCGAACCAAATTAAAATCTAAATCAATGAGTTTGTAGAGAATTTATTTGGCTTTATTAGGAACCTAATTGTGTCGAAATCAGATGAAAATTAACAGAGCTGTGAGGCAGAAACTGTGTCAATGTAATTTTTGGCAAATTTTCAATGTTCGATAAATTCAATTTTGAAGCTTCTCAGGTGCAAAACTGTTGAAACCAAATTCAAATCTTATCCAATAGGTTTGTAGAGAATTTAATTGGCTTCAATTAAAGCCTAATTTCGTTGAAATCGAATGAAAATTAAAGAAGCTGTGAGCTAAAAACTGTCTCAGTGTCATTTTTGAAAAATTTTCAATGTTTGATAAATTAAATTTTGAAGCTTCTCAAGTGCCAAACTGCCGAAACCAAATTAAAATCTTGATTGATTGGTTTGTAGACAATTAATTTGGCTTTAATTGAAGCTAAATTACATTGGAATCAGATGGAAATTAACGGAGCTGTATGGCAAAAACTGTCTCAATATCATTTTTGGAAAATTTTCAACGTTCGATAAATTCAATTTTGAAGCTTCTCAGGTGCAAAACTGTTGCAACCAAATTAAATACTTAATTAAAAGTTTTATAGAGAATTTAATTGGCTTTAATTAAAGCCTAATTGCGTTGAAATCAGATGAAAGTTGAAGGAGTTGCGAGCTAAGAACTGCCTAAGTGTCATTTTTGCAAAATTTTCAATGTTTGATAAATTCAATTTTGGAGCTTCTCAGGTTCAGCTGTTGAAACAAATATACAGTAAACTTTGGTTTTGCCTAGCTGGGTGAACACAAAAACCCTAAGAAACAAAAAAACTCAATAGAAATTTTGAAAAACCCGGGTTTTTGCCAACTCTGGGACTATTTGAAAACATGTTTGTACTTTGTTTCACCAAAATGGAAAAAACAACCAACAAAATGTTGATCTATCACAATATGTCAATTTCTTCATCTAGTCAGGTGGATTGTGCTGAATAGGTAGGTGCCTTTAATACATATTGTGATGTGATGATGTGATTCATGACTCATGAAGTGTTTTTGCAAAATAACAATAATATGTGATCCTTTTTACTAGGATGTCATTCATTTTTTGATATTACTGACATATTTTAGGTGTATTTAAAAAACACCTATGGACAAAATTATCGCTTCTATCTGTAAGTACTTATATATAAATGTTCTTACAATGGGGTTATCACAGAGAATTTATCAAAAAACAACTTGATATCAAATAATAGCCTCTAGAGCTAGGGATGAGCGAAACTATTGTGGAAAAAAGTTCTTCAATGTTTTACATGAATGAATCCCTTAATATGCCATGTCACAATTAAGCATTATCTGGAACTTCAGTGAAACTTCTCTAACCCGAACTTCCCGAATTCGAATTATTCTCTAAATCGAATTTTCTTCACAAACAAATAGGTTTTCACAACATCACTATGTATTTTTTCCTCATAAGTCGAATTTCTAATCTCTATAACTCGAATATTTCTAAAACTCGAACTAAAATTGGCAACCGACAACTAAGCTTAACTCGAATTTTTTGGCGAACCACCTACTGCATTCAGTGCACTTGGGAAAATTATCGATTCTCAGTGACCAGCGGCGACAGATTGACTTGTCCTGTATTATATAATGTATATATAACTACTTTTTTGTAATACATGCATAATACATATAAATTCAAATATCCTCAATTTTGTGTATTTTTCTCGAATCGAATTTTCCGTAACTCGAACTCGACTTCCTGTCCCTTGAAGATTCGAGTTAGGGAAGTTTCACTGTAAAGGCTTTTCATATTGAAGATGAGTACCCTAAGATCAACCTACAAGCGATTCCTTTGCTTTATAAATATTTGACTTGTTTTAAAGCCTTGCAGTTTATTTAGTTTGTTTGGTCATTCAACCCTACTGTTATATTTTTTAAGTAATGTAGTGCCATTGTAACCGAATCTCCATTATGAATATTTCAATTTGTGAATCCTAATATGTTCAATCAGTTAATTATAATTAATTTAAACATCACTCATCATTTATTTTTATCTAAGCTACTGATTTCTTCTAAAACCTTGACAAATTATTTGAAATATAAAATTAATAAAATGTAAGTGTTGGGACAATTTTTCCTCAAGTTTATACATTATCAAATTCAAATTCAAATTCAAAAACAGCTTTATTGTGATAAAAATAAAGATTAAAACATCTCATCTCATCAATCAATTATATATTACTGTATCCAAATAATCAAATACCGAAAGTCATCCTTGATAATAAAATAGTTAGATAATAGTTTTGGGTATGACGTAGGCGACTGCTATTGTAGGTGAATTATGTGATAATATAAGCAAAAAAATAATATTCAATAGTCAATATTATATCTCTAAGTGGCAAAAAAATACTTTAATTAACTTGTTATCTTACCCAACTTCATTTTTAACAGCAGGATGACATGACATCCCTAAATAATCATTTGAGCACCAAACCGTAATTGGTTTCTTGCCCGAAGTGTATTCAAATGCTTTGGGAAATTCGCCTGGCCCAGCCAAACGATTCACCTTTTTAAAAATCCTGTAGGAGTGCTCTTTTTTCTTCTTCATAATTTGCTGATGGAAAAATTGATCATAGGCAAACACTTCTGAAACAAAATAAAACTCATATATTAGAATGCTGGCATTGAAACATTTGTTTTGGCACGCCTATCAGATTTTTAAATGTTATTAGGGCAAAGTAAACGGTGTTTGGTCCGAGTTTGAAATAAAAAATATATTTGGGGTGTGTCAATGACAAATACATTCATAATGTTAAATGATTCTACAGGTTTTAATTCAAAAAAAATTTTTGATTTTCATAATAGCGCCAAGTTTCTAGGACTTACTTGTTAATTTATTTTAAAATAAAGCATGTTACAAGTACAAAAACCAAAAATTTAAAACTACAATACCCAAGGTACTTAGTTGACATTTTCTGATAAGTATAGGAAAAAGAATTTTACTTCTTTTTTTGTTCCATATCCCTTTCACCTATACCTAATAATCTAAAAATTAAAAAGCTTGGCAATTCAAGGTTGAGTCACTAAAACTAAAGTAGGCATAAATATTCATTTTGTACTTATTTAAATTTTTTTCAAGTAGGTTGTTTTTGACTGTTGCGAATTTGTTGATCAATTATGTAATAGGTAATTGGAGTGTTTTTGTATTGTAACTACTATCAAAGACAAAAATATATTATAATTTTTTGTTTTTGACGATTGCGTGACCAAGCACAATAACTATCCATAAGTACATTCGATTAAGTAAATTAAAAATTGATTACCATTTCCAGAGTCAGACTTGTCCTGATTGACCTCAATGACATCGTCTTGCTTCAACTCTTTGATCGCCCCTGACACTTCATTCAGAAAAGGGCATTTCGAAGCTGCACTGGTCAGGTTTTCTGAAAAACAAATAGTTCAAAGCATTTATTTAAAAAATAAGCAATATGTACATACCCTGCACTTCATTGTTGCTAGCCATCTGGGTAATAGATCTCGATATCACTGGACATTGGTTGCCATACATTTTTATTAAGACTGGAGCATAATTTTTAACATAGTTTTGGCTAAGCCTGGTCAGAAACGGGCAAGGCATTTTAGAATTTGTTGAAAATCCTTTTAAAAAAAAAAATTATGTAACCTTAAAAATCAAAATAATTTTTTTTATACCTTTTAAACAGGAGCTCGAAGCAACGCTGGTTACACGGCTTAATAAACCCAAACCAACCTGAAATTATTATACCGAAACAAGTTTAATTTATGTAGCGAATTTAACCACTTTCACTATGTTATTCTTTTCAGTGTCTCTCCACTCGCTACACTAAATACTATATTAAAAATATTAAAATATACAAGCTGCTCATTTGCCTTTGCCTCCCCTCCAGACGAATACTGACAAATGAAATGACAAATAAGATGATGCAAGGGTTGTGTAAAAGGAACAGACCAGACATAACAGAACCGGAATCAGGAACAGAGTTTTTTTTCTTTCTAGTCAATTATCAGGATAAAAGTGAAAGTGATAGCTGACACCGTTTTTTTGAAACATTTTGTGACTGACTTCGTTTTTAAGAAATTTCCAGTTCATATCGATCAAGTTCTATCTTGGAGAAAGGGATTTTAGCGGTTGAGAAAAAATTATCAAAATACATTTATATACTTTCATTCATTTATCTAACGATTCTATCGGGTCTTCAAAAAAAAAACCAATCAAAGATTGCTATGGTTTTTTAAACGTATGTTTTAGCACTATTTTTCTTTAATTTTGTCAATGAACTTCAATGTCAAAATGTCATGTCAAAAATCCTGACCAATAAAGAAACAATAATGCGACGTACGTTTTCGTATTCAAAGCAATCTTTGATTGTTTTTTTTTTTTTGAAGACCCGATATGTTCGTGACTGAAAGGGATAACTGCAGACCGCTGTTACATCCGCCTACATGAACAACTGTCCTGCAATTACGAGTAGTCCTAACTTCTAACAGGAATGAGCCGTGGAATAACGACCTCCGAAAACAAAGGAAGGAAACAAGGAAACTTTTCAACAAAGCAAACCGAACAGGAGAGCGGAGCCAGTACCGTAAAGCTCTGACTGAATACAACACATGCCTGAAAGCATCTAAGAAGGAATCATGGTGAAGACATTGTGAGGAGGTTGAACAGACTCCTCAATGTGCCAGACTCTATAAAATTCTTTCCAAGGACACTCCAGGAACCATTGGTTCTTTAAAACAGGAAATGGAAACTACACTCAGGCCGGCAAGAGACTCTAGAAGAGCTTTACAGAGTCCACTTCCCGGGCAGTGTGATCCTTGAAGAAAATCCCGAAATCCGTCACGATGTATAAACCTCACAACCAGATATGGCACCACGGAAGACTGGCAGATGGCAAAAAAAGTAGTAACATGGCGTAGGTTAAAATGGGTCATTGACTGATTTGGAGCCATGTAAATCGCCAGGACCAGATGGAATTTATCCAATATTACTACAAAAAGGCAATAGCACGCTATACTCCAGGCTCCTGATTATACTTAGAACAAGCTTATGGGACTAAATCATATTCCCAAAGCCTGGAAAGAAATCAAAGTTGTTTCTATCCCTAAACCTGGCAATATAGGACAGGACAATGCAAAAGCTCTGAGACCCATGAGTCGCATGTCATTTTTGTTGAAGGCTCTAGAAAAACTACTTGAGCCTTGAGCTCCACATTCGGGGTGGTGCATTGGCTACCAGACTAATACATCCGGACCAATATGCTTACAAAGCAGGAGCCTCAACTGGAACAGCACGACATCACTCCGTCCAGCGGGTATAGAAATAAGTACGTTGAAAAATAAGAAAGTTATGTTGGGAGCCTTCCTTGATATAGAGGGAGCGTTTGACAGCACTTCCTTTGAGGCAATCATGAGAGCTCTACGCGGACGAGGTATTGATGATACATGCTGCGAGTGGATAGACTGCATGTAGAGTAATCCACTCCATGCTACTCGGTAAAACAGTAACGGCTCGGGTTGCGAAGGGCTGTCCGCAAGGCGGAGTGTTATTACCCCTGCTGTGGAATCTGGTGATGGACGAGCTGATAGAGCTACTGAAGAGCAACAACCATCAAGTAGTGGGATATGCAGGTGACTTGGTCATAATATCCCAGGAAAAATTCAACCATACAGTTAGAGATCGCTGCAGCAGGTTCTAACAATGGTCTCTAAGTGGACACAGACTGTAGGGTTGAAAATTAGTGCCACCAAATCGACAATTGTTCCCTTTACCAAAAGAAGGAAAATGGAGGGACTTGGATCTCTTTACCTTCACGGAAACCCAGTTACGATGTCGGACGAAGTTAAATGGTAATCATAGACTCAAAATTAACTTGGAACAAACATCTGGACAAAGTAATTAAAAGGTCGGAACTGGTACTTATACTAGCCAGGAGAACTTTCAGAAAAACCTGGGGGCTGCGGCCGGACATGATGCACGGGCTATACACAACGGTTATAAAGCCAGCAATAACCTATGCGTCTTTGATATGGTGGACAAAGACACAACAAGACAGGGACAGAATGAGACTTGGCAGGGTTCAAAGACTTGCCTACTGTCTGGGCATTACAGGGTGCATGAAAAGTACACCAACAGCAAGCTATGGAAGACCCACTAGACCTACCTCCGCTACCCATTGTGATGAGCCAGGATGGGCCTTCACAGACAACGAAACAACCTGAGCAAACTAACAGTTAGATCAGGCCAAACACAAATAAGGAAAGTCATAAATCTGACAGTATTCGACATGATAACTGACTATGCACTTCCCAAATATTCACCCGACATATCCTTTCAAGTCCTAATTAGTGAAAGGGAGGATTGGGAAAACCAACATGCACTCTCCAATCTCAAAGGCCAGACCTGGTACTCCAGACGGGCAAAAACTGAGAATGGCACAGGCGCAGGAATCTACAGTCAAGAAGGAAGATGCGAGACCTTCTTCTCTCTAGGGTCACATACATCTGTTTTCCAGGCAGAGGTACATGGAATACTATAATTCGGAAGAATCAACAATATGAGGGCCTGCAAAGACAGGAGACTCACTCTACTCACAGACAGTCAGGCAGCACTGGGGGCCTTGAAGAACCCTAAGGAGGCAAACTCTGCAGTGGTAATGGAATGCCGAGAAGAAGTCAACAACTTGGCGGACCAAAATAACGTCACATTGATGTGGGTGCCAGGACATAGAGGTATCCCGGGCAACGAAAAGGCTGATGAACTTGCACGCAGGGGGTCATCCTTAGAATACCTTGGAACCTTGGTCCCGGACTAGCTCTCGGAGTGTCCAAAAGCACAGTAGGAAAGGAGCTGAAGGAATGGATCAAAATAAAACATGCTTTAATACTGGAAGCAAATACCCATGGGAAAATCCTCATGCGTGAGAAATGCAGCAAAAGAGCAAAAAGACGGCTACAACTAAGCAGGAATCAACTCAGAGTAGCAACCGGCTTTCTTAATGGGCATGCCCCAGTAAAGAAGCACCTGCAATTTCCTGCAAACAATGGGCTTGTACAACGGAGGCACGAGCTGCAGAGACTATGCGGAACAGAGATTCAAACAGCCCAATATATTATATCAGAATGCGATGCACTAACTCGCAGAAGACAAAATATATTTGGAGAAGATGAACTAGATCCAGACACATACGGCAAACATCCAACAGACCTACTTCGCCTACTACAGGGAACCAGGGTTTTGGAATGGGTGCAGTAAGCACCCGGCTGCAGTGCTACTCGGAGTTTATTCATACGTACGACTTCCCCACCAAAAAAAAAAAAGTGACTCCCTGTATTTTAAATTCAACCACTAGTAAGTACATACCACGGTGGCGATAAATAAGCAAATGGAGCATATGTGGACTGCTTAATACTGTTTGCGAATAATGTAATGGCTATATCAATTTTAAATCCGATAATTTGTAGAGTCTAGTCTAAAACTCGATTTTTCACATTGTATGGCTCAATTAGGTACTAGTAGTTGTCTCTTTTCACTTTACTTTCTTAAGAGCATGTGACAACAAAAACGTACGTCTTTCACATTTCTAGGGCGATTTTCTAAATTGTAATTGGTTTCCGTATTTCATTGCCTATTATGCCAAATTATTCCGACTCTACTAAACCTACTGTAATGATTTCTGTGATTTGAATGATATTTTGATTGTAGGAGAGACACGAAATCCAATGAAATTACTTATTGTTTTAGAAAACAGAAAAGAAGAAATATTTTTGAAAATACAGATGATTGAGAATTTACCACACTGTGAATGATAGATAGGTATCGCTTGAGTTAAAGTTGACGGTAACGCGTACATGACAGAGACTTTTCAGAAATCAAAATTGAAAACTTAAGCATCAAATTGCGTAGGGTGGCAGTTTCTCGAATCATCGTCAGTCAAATTGCTTATGGCAAAACAAAAAAAAAATCACTTACCGCCATTGTCATACTTGCAGTTATGTCAACAATCTACTCAATATATAAAATAACTCAATTAAGCCAACTGAAATTCTCTGACATGAATATTTATGTCAAAAAATTTATTATTTATGGGAACGAATAATTACCTTTGAGCTGACGTTATTGTTTTGCTATAGTCGCATGAGAAGGTTTAAAAGCTGTAATAGCACTTACGGACTTGAAAAATTCACCTATTTATGTATGTAGATACCTACTTATAAATTAGATAGCAGCTACCTAAAGTATATGGTGTGCTAGAAAAATATTTTAGTAGGAAAATTTAAGCACTCCCAGCTATATCTTAAACTCTCTATAGGATTGTTCCTAAAAAGTCATTAAATTGAGTCTATTGAGTCTATTTCTTAAAAAACTATAGTTTTTTTGAAAACATGTTTAGTTAATGTAATGTGTAACATGTAATTTCAATTAATGATCGGCAATAAATACTATTAAGAGGACCGATTTCTCACGAAAAAAAAAAGGAAGTCAAATTACGACCAAACCGCTTGATCGAAATTTATGAAGTTTTCAATAAAGGTTCTCTACATTCATTTTCGTTTGGTTAGAAATCATTGCAAACTTTTTGAATTTTCATTGAAAAAAAGAAAAAATAAAGGCAAAGAGTTTTTAATGACTCTTACCCAAACAATAATAAATTTAGAACCTACATCTATAATTTCACAATTTCTAATCTACCGGTTTCGCCTGTAATTCGATTTCTCACTCTTAAAAATTTCGTGGTTGTCTTAAAGCGTCCGATATGATATTATCAAACTTTCTAATAGTAATAGTATGAACATGCAAGTTTTTTTTTATCATGGTTAAATTAGCTATTCAACAACACATGACGGTGCGGTATTAAATTCATAGAAAATATGTATCTACCATGGAACTTTAACCAATTCAACCTAATGAAATTTTTCTTTACAAAACGAGCTTTTCAATTTAAAGCAATTCGAATTCTACAGGCAAAGTTAGTTAAAATTGAATATAAATAATTTTCATTCTCGAGAGTCAAATAAATTATTTTGGGCCGCTCCATGCATTGTTTCCAATATCTCATAATCTTTTTCTAAATGAATTGCTAAGATGGTTTAAAACTAAAGTGATAATTTGGAACGATTCAAGTGTATTATTTTTTATTGAATTCAAAGTTTATTTCTTATCAATAAAGGAAAAAATAGTATATTACATAAACTATATCTCGAGACAGTAATTAAATTTCCTGTCGAGCATAGTATACTATTTTATTTTTAACCATAATTTTTGCTAATTTAAATTAGAAATGAAATTGAATGTGAACGTAGCTTCATGCTATTTGCTTGAATTTTATGTCATTGTCAAATACCTGCCACATTAATGTAATGAAACGAGGACGGGAAGTGAGGACGGGAAATGGAGACGGGACGTGGAGCAGGGAAATGAAAAGACAGTAAAGTGACATTTCCAAATTTTTAAAAAGACTGTAATGTCAACATTACATATATGGTTAAAAATAAAATTATTTAATGCGAATTGTGCTCTTTTCTACGAAAGCGTCCTGGTGTCAATGAAACTATTATTAAATTATTATTTTTTCCCACATATCGGAAAAAAATTCGAAATATAGACAAAAAAATCCGATACATAGGAAAAAAATCCTATATATAGGAAAAAATTGCAACATATAGAGAAAAAGATCCGACATATAGGAAAAAAATCCAAAATATAGAAAAAAAGTCCAATAGAAAAAAAGATCCGATAAATAGGAAAAAAATCCGATATATAGAAAAAAAATTCAAAATATAGAAAAAAAATTCAATACATAGAAAAAAAATTCGACATATAGAAAACAAATCCGACATATAGAAAAAAAATCCAAAATATAGAAAAAAAATTCAATATATAGAGAAAAAGATCCGAACCAAATGAAAATCAGCTACACAGGCAAATTATTTTAAATAACAAATTGAAAATAAAACAATACTTGTGTACAGGATGTTTCAAATTTGAGCCACATCATTGAGATCTCGGAAACGGTGAGAGATACAGCCGGCGGCATTGGCGTATCCAGGATTTTGGTTTGGGGGGGGGGGGGCTGTGTTAACAAAAAATGTTGACCAAAAAAAAAAATCGGCGCAGGTATTTTTTTTTTTTATTTACGACTGACATATAATGTAAATATTATATTTGTGATTTTGGCAGTATAATGCCATTATATTATTCCCGCAGGGATTAATGGCCATTATTCCCGCTTGCAAACCAATCACAAAATTTCTCAAATTAAATAAGTAGTACTACAATGGAAACAATATACCTGAACAAACTCAAAAGTGTCATTGTCAAACGCGTAGTGCTTGTGTATTGAGATAGATGAACAAAGAGCGTTTTTGGAAACGAAATTTCAAATAAATTAATTTGTCGTAAATAAAGTAGAGTATACTACTCGCAATAATGGCTATTATTCCCTCGGAATGTTACTCCCTCGTCGCTAACGCGGCTCAGTTCGTAAATATTCCTCGCGAATAATAAGTATCATTATTGACTCGTGGTATAATCTACTATGAAGTCACGCAGCTTAGCCCAACGGGCCACTTTCACGTGCCTCTCATTGGATAAAGCCAATATTCATGCGCTTGTTTCCACATGAGAAATCCCCAAATATTTCAGGATCATTGTAATAGGAACTAGTTTCATGTCAGCCTTGTTCTGGAATGATTTACAAATGAGAAATTCGGCATCCTCGCATTTTTGGGAAAGTGATGTCAGTTTCCAATCCCGCGTTTTCGCAGCAGTTTAAAAATTCGATTTTCAAATAATTTTATTTTCAAAAATAAGTATACAGATGTTATGAGAATAACTAATAGATAGAAAGTTGCCTATTTTTTTCATGAATTCACATGTTACATACATACCCAAACGTTACGCGCCTATAATTTTTTGCGGGGCGACAAAAATATTAGCATCGGGCCGCTTTTTTTTGTGGCTAGGTGGAGAAATTTTGGGCACGGATCCCTTCTCTCCTAGGAAAGGAAGTATTTCAGGGTCCCCATTCTTGAAACTGGGGAGCAGCGTTTCCAGGAAAACGAGTGTTCCGTCTTTCTCAATGATATGCAAATGATAATATAAGTAACAAAGACGGAAACTCGTTCTCCTGGGAACAGTGCTCCACTGTTTCAAGAATAAGGACCCAGATATGCAAGGTGATTAAGGTGAAGCACTGATTCCCTTGCTGCATTAGGCGCCCGCCATAGAAAAACCTTATTGTAGAGAGAAATAGATTTTATTTCTATTTTTTCTACAAAAAAATTCCCATGTCACATAAAATACGCTGGAAAATATTGGTCTAGACTTGCCTTGGGGGGGGGGGCTTCAGCCCGGCAGCCCCCCCCTCTGGATACGCCTACGGCCGGCGGATTCCTTGCACTGGTAAATTCCATAGCGACATGTCGCTTGCTATCTTGAAACTGGGCAAGCGACATGTCGCTATGGAATTCAACAGTGCACGAAATCCGCTCCCAGGATCGGTTTAATTGGGGCAAAGTTCCGCATTTTGATGCTCAATGAAATGGTACTTTAGAATTTGAAAAATTCCGTTTCCGAGATCCCAATGCCGTAGCTTGAATTTGAAACACCCTGTACTTCACTATCTAACCGTAATTTAAATGCTCAAAATGTTCACCATTCATTTCTCGACATAAATTGATCCTGTTTTCAAATTCATTCAGGACTTCTTGCATTTGAGCTGGACTTACGGCGTCTATCGCTAATTGGATTTTATTTCGTAAGTCTGCCAAATCAACTGGCTGTGTTCTATAAACTGATTCTTTTATGTGACCCCAATAAAAAAAGTCCAAAGAAGTTATATCACAGGATCTTGCAGGCCACCTAACCGGTCCATTTGTACCGATCCAGCAATTTCCAAATGTCTGGTTTAGGTGATCCACAACCCTGCGAGCGTTATGTGCTGGAGCACCATCTTGCTGGAAATAAGTATTTAGATATTGGTTCAAGGGAAGATTTTCCAGAAATTGCGCTATTTCATTATTCAAAAAAATTAAATAGCGGTCAGCAGTAAGAGGCCCATCAAAAAAAATTGGTCCAACAATCCGTGTTCCCAAGACTCCCATCCAGACATTCACGCCAAATCTCTCCTGAAAAGCTCCTTCACGAAAAAGGTGAGGATTTTCCTTTGCCCAATATTGGTGTTGTTTCTATTGAACAATCCCAAATTAGTGAAGCGAGATTAATCGGAAAAAAGGATCAGTTGGCGGAAATTTGGTATTTGCCTCCTTATATTCAAATACCAATTACAAAAGTCCAATCTCCGTTGATGGTCTGCTTCGTACAAATGGTGGTGTATTTGGTATTTGAAGGGTTTAAATTTATGTTTTTCCAGGATTTTCCTCACGCTTTCTCGTCCAATTCCTATTTCAGAGGCAATTTGTCGCACTGAAGTTGTAGGATCAACCTCAATGCATGCCAAACTGTTTATCTCTGCCTCCTCGTCAACAATTAACGTACCGGCTACGTCTTGATTTCTTTCCTCTTTCAAATGTTGTTCTAGCCAAGAAAAATATCTGTCGCATGGTTGTGGACGATCTGGGTACCGTTGGAAGTATAAAGCTTTTGCTTCCCTTCTATTCTTTCTTGCTTCCCCATACACTAATAGCATATCAATTTGATGCTCTCGACTAAACACTGGCATTTTTAACAAGGGAAATTTACTAAGAACTACTGAGAACCACAAAAACTATACCTACTGATAATAACAAAAACTACTGAGAACAACGAAAACCACTAAGACCTACTAAAACTACTGAACACTACTAAAAACTACTGAACCTCAACTATGCGAAAGACTGTTTAAAACCCTAATAAAAGTTAGGTTATTGCTGAACACTGAAATATGATGACGTCTCATCAAAAATGGACAAAAACCTGTCATTCTGTCAACATTGAAGATTCATGGCCGCTTATTATTTTCTACCACACGATTTTCGTTTACGCTCACGTTAAAAGAAATGGCAATAGTTGGATAATTTTGGGTTAGCATGGCCGCCGTCAGTATTGTTCACGTTTGCGTCCATAACTTTTTGGACTATTTGCGACCTTTGGGTAACAGTGCAAATCGGGATTCAAGGAACACAACAAATGAGACTTATCTTTTAAACTGCATTCTGTGTGATCTATTTAAATAAACTTATAAAAAGG